ACTTTAAGATATATAAATCTTGATTTTCCATAAAATGTGGAGAACTATTTTGAATCCTCTGACTTTGTATCATTATAACCTATTTTGATACACTTATAAATATCAAATTAGCTTGATGAAATATTAGGACAAGAATATATCAGTAGTTTTGGAAGATTTTTATATTATAAAACTAATGCTGATTTGTTAACCAATATCTAAGGAGAACTTGTTTAACTTCTTGCAATTATTATTCTGTTTCTAATACATTATTTTTAGTGTTATTCGTAAAAGTATCTTTTCACTTAAAAAATTTTAGATTTTATTAGTAGAATAAAAAATCAAATTTTTGCCAAAATTGTATATAAGCTCTATAACTTAAATAGAAAATTATTGAATTAATTTAAAAACCATACAAAAGAAGGATTCTTAGTGATATTTTTAGCTCATAGTTGGGATTTATTATTTAAGGTTTTACTATATATCAGTTCAAATTACGACAATTAATCAGACTACAGAACTTATATATCAAAAATAATTTGCCTGTTTTACCTAGTCATAATAATATCATTTTTAATATAGGAAGTTTCAAAAGCTAATAAGTTTTCGTAAAGGTAAAATGAACTACAAATATCAATTTCGCTTATTAAAAAGCTATTATTTTTAGTTGTTTTAATAGAAATGCAATAATATCCTTTATTATAAACTTGTATGCTCTCAATTATAATGTCAATTTATGTAAGTTTTGCGCTATTGATGAAGAAAGGTAATTAAAACTCAGAATTCTTTATAATTATTTCAACTGAACTTTCATTAATTACTTTTACTTTATTGGGAATAGCATATTGCTAAGATTTTTCAACATACTTTAGTCCAAACACACAAATTACTTTGGATTTGTTTAAATTACAGTTCTAATAGTAGGTTTAGTATATCCATTATTTACATGCTTCAAATCTTTACTTTTGGATATCAAAAAATGTTTAAATTAAAGAAAAAAAAAACTAAATTAAGAAACGAAAAAGGGACCTATTACGACTAATATTTTATATAAGAGGATATATGAAAAAATACTTAATATTATTACAACTGACATATAAGTGAACTATTAAATATATATGATTATCATATAATAATCAAATCCTCTTTGAAAGCAATTTGTCTAAATATCCTTCTTATTACGACTATTATGTATAAATTACTCATGCAATTATAATCTTAACAAACAATTTTTCCTTCCAGAAATTTGCTCTAAGTCTTCTTTTAAATATTATTTTAAAAATAATTTTGTTTTCTTCAATTCATTGATATAAGTCATTCTATAAGTAATTATTTATTGATACAATTTAAAAGCCTTTATTATTTGAATCTTAAAGATTATTTATTACATAATTTTAAAATCTCCTTAGAATTTACTAAGGGTTTGATGAAGAAAACAAAGGATTTTCTTGTGATAGTTTTAAAAGAATAATAAAGCCTATATTTTAAAAAAGAATCGTTACGGATTATTATTCTTATAGATTTGCTGCTAAATGATAAAAGATTTCATAACATATAGTCATTTTCGAATTAAAAAGATGAAATATATATTGAATATAGCTATAATTACGGACAACTAGGGAAGTTTGGTAAGAAAAATCAAAATATTCTAATTATTTCAATCTAAAGCCAATACACAGTTCTAAAACAAAACTTAAATTTTGTTGATATAAATAGGGTTTCTATTAGAATCAAACATTTATGATATTCTAGAAGTACAAATTTTTTTAAGTTCATTAAATAATTACTAATCAAAAACGGGCACTAATTTAGCGTAAATATATTGCCTTATTTAAATAATAAATACAGCAAATAAATGAAAAAGTACATCTTAATAAAGCATCTTTTTTTTGTGTAGATTCTTTTGGTAGCAACTTCTTTACTATTTAATTATTTTTGAGTTGCAAGCAATTTTCATACACTATATTTTAAATTTTCTGAGAGCTAAAAATATATCAGATGATTGAAATTCAATCATGGAATGTATGTATAGTATAATTTATTTAAAAGATTGGTAATCGAATCGTCGTGTGAGTAATCTCAGATTCATTTTGAGTATTATGTATAACTTGAGTCTGAGTAGATTGAATTATTCCTTAATGGACTAAATTTGGCAAGCAATTCTATCAAGGTTGTAAATCAGAATAGCCCATTCTTATTTATAAATATTTTATAAATTTGTATTAAATTAAAATTAGGTAAGTGAAGTTATTAAGCTTAGACACGCTAAATAAAGAAAAAGGAAATAGTGAGTCATAAAATAACCATAACTACAACATTAGATAGCTAATATAGGTGCAATGGAGTTTTACATAGAAGACAATTAGAAGATGCATGTTTCAATGCTAATATGGGCTATCTTACTGCAGATCTGTCTAGTACGTTTGAATGTAAACACCAAAATACATCCTCAAATTCATGTTGTGATCTTTCAACTTTGCTGACGCTACGCAAGAGACTCAAATTCAATATTTCTTACATAGCATTTATGACATCATGATGTCTTAAAGTAACTCTATTATGCATGTAAGCCATGCTAAACCTCCTATTAAGAAAACATTGTTGCACTTCATACTACTGATGTATAAGACTTGGAGGGAGTGGTATATGTTATCAGAAAAACACATACAGAAAACTCTTTGTCTTACATCAATGCTTTCTGCTGCTGAAAATCAAGATGCTACTGTCAAAATCTCTTTTTACAATAGTGGTACTAATGATCAAAATATCCTAGTGATGGCCACCAGTATTGCAATATCCTTTTAAATTCATATATTCTACATAAATAATTACAAAAGAAGTAACACAAGGATAGGATGGCATAAAGGAAGACTTTGTGCAAAGTACACTAGCATATGGGTTACCACATTCATTCCTGGTTACATTATGTTAACAGTACCCATCACAAGAAGAATACCGTGCTAGCACTTTCTTACATAGACTCAAAAATTGGCAATTAGCAATTTAGAAATCAAAAAATTTCATGTTAAATAATGTTTAAGGGGTTTTAACTGACTAATTTATGGAATTTACCTTCTATTATTCTTAAAAACTTAATGCATTTGTATTAAACTACACTCTTTAAAACTAGGAATGTCCTTAATGTATTAACACACTACACCCAGTTAAGCAAGAGATTAAATTCATTATGATGGCATTTTTATAACTAACTAAATGCAATACTCTTTGCTTGTACCCAGCAAATATTAGAGCATCATTTGGTTCTAGTTGGTAAAGAAAAACAAGAATACAAACAACAAAAGATTAGTTAAGGCTAATATGCTACAAACTCTAGAATTTTTGGGAGGCTAATTCATCATCCGAATATTTATACAATAAGGATGGGTGGATTTAATGAATCCCAAAGCATTTTAAACTTTAACAACATAAAAAATTTGTTGCAAATGCTAAATGTGTTAATTGTGATATCATAATGTTGCCATAATGAATTCCAAGTAGAACATGCTAATTGACATTTGAGAACACGAAATGTCATTATTGAGCAATGAAGTATCACAAGGAGAATCATCTGAACATGAGGGGTTTGGGAAAAAAGAAGAGATTTATCACATCCATCACCAGTACTTCTAATAAACATTTTTGTATTTAATGTTAACCATATACATATTAAGTAGTGGCTAAACTGAACAATGTTGGTTGTGCACCACACAAGAGCATTCTTCTTTGTTAATTCTTTAATGTAACAATATGTATTTTTTCAGTTGTGTAATGTAAAATGATAAATGATGTACAAACTTATAGATTAATTATAACTAATGGAATGAATTTAGAACAAAAGAATAACATTCTGTGGTTGTAAATATTTGTTAATTGAGAAACAAAGTACTTAAGTGACTTGAATGATAGAATTTAATTCTATGAATTAATTTTTCTTTTGAAATTTAAGTTATATTAATCAACACTTTTGTATGTTAACTTTAAAACATTCTAATATATTAGATCAAAATTATTAAAACATATAATTACATATGTATACTTTTAGAAAAAATTTTGTTTCATTTGAAGTTATAGGATTGATCCCTTTTTAGATTTTACAAATCATTTAATAACACATTAAAATATTAAACATATTATAATGTGAATCATCTGAATATTTCATATAATATATAATATATGTTCTTCTTTTACTTAATTATAGATTATTTGTGACACTGATTGACTCATCTCTGAAATATTAACTACTAATTCCAAATTGGACTTATCAGTATTTTTTAAAACCAATTCAAAGTTGGTTTTTGTTTGGGTCACACTAATGAATCAGATTTAATGACTTTTTTATTACTGATTTCTTAAATTTATTGAAAGTGCTTCTGATAGTTTGACAAGATTCACATTATATTTATGTCAATATTTAAATTTTATCAAATTCCTTATCAACAAATATAGGATGTACTCCAATATTTGAAAAATATAATCTCCTTATTAATAAGATATAATAATCTTTGCTTCTTTCTAAGGAAAAAATTCAAATTATTTGATGGATAGTTTCTAAAACTAAAGGGGCGAGTAAGTTGTTGAAATTTATTACACTATTAAAAAAAAACTGTTATGGCTTCCACCTCCTCCTAAATTATATTATCTATTATTAATACTTGGTTGAATGCTGTAACTGAATGAATTATTTGTTTGATTCTCTTGTATTGAACTCAAGAAATCAAAATTTTCGGTGTTGGTAAAGTTAAATACATAAAACAATTAGCAAGAGAATAATCTGATTCAAGTTTGTAATTTTCGCTTATAAATTAATTAGAGAAGTAGGAATCATTTAATTTTTTAAAGGATCCATCTATTCCTAAAATGATTTGATATCCCAATTATGTAACATTTTCATAATTACCTAAAATATCTACAGTCACAGAGGTTGTATTTAATTATAAAATCTAATGCTCAATTTCAATTTAATTAACGAAAAATCAAAGTGGTTTATCTGAATTTTTTTTACGAATTTATCAATAATATTCTTGATGGCTAGTAATGCATGCTTTAGGACAGCTGGAGATATAACTATACAGTATTATTAAGGGTTCAAAAGTATGAAATTGATGATCAGATGAAAAAGATTAAATAAATATGGGAAGCATGTAAAAAAAAATTGATTTTAAAAAGTAGATATAAAGAGTAAACCACTTTCGCATTTTTAATTTGTAAATTTGTTAATAATGATGAGCTGATTTTTCTATTTTCATTTGACAAACTTTCTGTTCTATGCTTATTCTGTAGATTTCATAATGTTGTACAATAAAAATGCTGAATGCTATCTTAATTAAGAGAAGGAGTTTAATACTTCAAATGATAGTAGCAGTAAAAATAAAATTACGAAGTTAAAGTCGATCACTTCTCCTCTGGATTTTCTTTCAGGAATTAATAAAAAGTAATTAATTTTCTTTTTGGGTTAATCTTTATGATTTCTAAAATTTGTAGGTGAATGATAATTATATCGGCCATCATTAAATATTTTATAAAGATTAAATAAATAGAAAGTCATAAAGTATATATGTATATAAGGAAGTGTTACATTATAAAATTAGTTAAAATTTATTTAATGAAATAATTTACGTGTTAAGATATTGCTCACGAAGGAGAAGCTATATAGGGATTCTGTTTAAATTTTGGATGCTAGGATTCAAGGCCTTAGTTCTGTCTATAATGTGGAATTGACCCTAGGAAGCACTCTAATTGCAAGAAAGATTTAAAAGGATTTGGTTAGATTTAAAGTTTTATCACGAACTTCAATTAGAACATACTTGATTTAGGAACTGAATTGAATAAATCCTTCACATAAGTCAAAGTAGAATATGAAGAATTCTCAAAATAATTAGAGAATATGAAAATACAATTAACTAAGATATCTGAATATTTAAGTCAATAAGATTATTAATAAATGAAAGCCAATTTATAATTGATAAAGGAATGGTACCAATATTTAAAAAATCAAGAGCAGATTACGAAGTAGAATTAAATTGGTATTTTATATAAGTAATACTTTTAGGAACTTAATTAGTTAGAATAAAAAGAATGATTAAAGCATTTGATTTAGAGAAAGGATAATAATAAATTTAAGATATCAAATAAGATAATGAAAATGCACTCTAATAAGGTATTCAAATATTTTATAATTAAATTAGGAATACAATTACTAAATTAGTAGAAATGGTAGGAGGCTAATGAAAAAATTAATTAATATATAAAATTATCAGAGAAAAAATTATCATTTGCAACATTGTTTCAAAGTAATTCTATAATTTATAGATAATTAGGTATATGCTTAATTGAGATGAATTAACCGGGAAAAGGAATGATTTTAAGAGAATAGGGCAAAAAGATTAATAATAACCTGTATCCAGATCTATTGGCTTATTCAGATCAAGAATTAATTAAAGCACCATACAATTCTTTTATGTTATTAGCAAAAAGTAAAAGAAATATATAATTTATATAGGCTATGCTTTAAGTGAAGGAAAGCAATTTGAAGAGGCAAAAGAGTTATGCGAAAAGATTTTAAGAGAAGAACCTTAAAATCTTCACGCTTTGTATAGAAAAAGTAATTGTGTATATTAAAAAAATAGGCTATTAATTATATGATTTGACTCAATATTCAGAAGCAATTTAATGTATTGAGGTAGCTCTTAAATATAATCCATTGTATAGTATTGGTTATATAACAAAAGGTATTATTAAGTTATGATTTTAGGTGCTGCCTTAGATGATCTTAAGAAATACAATGAGGCAATTGTTTGTTTTGATAAAGCAATCCAAATAGATCCAAATTTTGCAAAGGCCTATTATAATAAAGGTTTTTAATTTCAAGATTGTATTAGGTGTAGCCTTATATAGTCTTAAGTAATACAATGATGCAATTGTTTGCTATGATAAAGCAATCCAAATAGATCCAAATTATGCAGATTCCTATATTAATAAAGGTTTGTAATTTCAAGATTGTTTAGGTGTTGCCTTAAATATTTTAAAGTAATACAATGATGCAATTGTTTGTTATGATAAAGCAATCCAATTAGATCCAAATTTTAAAAGTGCCTATTATAATAAAGGTTTTTAATTTCAAGATTGTATTAGGTGTAGCCTTAAATATTTTAAAGTAATACAATGATGCAATTGTTTGCTATGATAAAGCAATCCAAATAGATCCAAATTATGCAGATGCCTATATTAATAAAGGTTTGTAATTTCAAGATTGTTTAGGTGTTGCCTTATATAGTCTTAAGTAATACAATGATGCAATTGTTTGCTACGATAAAGCAATCCAAATAGATCCAAATTCTGCAGATGCCTATATTAATAAAGGTTTGTAATTTCAAGATTTTATTAGGAAATGAATTAAAGAGTCTTAATAAATACAATGAAGCAATTATTTGCTATGATAAAGCAATCAAAATAAATCCAAATTATGCAAATGCCTATATTAATAAAGGTTTGTAATTTCAAGATTGTATTAGGAAATGCCTTAGATGATCTTAAGAAATACAATGAGGCAATTGTTTGTTATGATAAAGCAATCCAAATAGATCCAAATGATGCAAATGCCTATATTAATAAAGGTTTGTAATTTCAAGATTGTATTAGGAAATGCCTTATAGAATCTTAATAAATACAATGAGGCAATTGTTTGCTATGATAAAGCAATTCAAATAAATCCAAATTATGCAAATGCCTATAATAATAAAGGTTTTTAATTCAAGATTAAATTAGGTTCTTTATTAACAAATATGAAGAAATACTCATTAGCTAAAGAGAATTATGAGCAGGCAATTAAATAGTGCAATTCAGAAAAAGATGAATTTAAACGTTTAATTATGGAATTAAACAATAAAAAATGATATATTCATTATTTAATGTTATTAATATCAGTTTACATTATTTCTTGAAAATTAATTATTGTTTTGATGCTTTTTATCCTTTCGTATGTTCACAATCATGACAATCATTACCAACATTTTCTTCTTCTGTAAAGTTTTCATATATCTATGTCGTTAACTCTTCAAATCCAATAGTA